CTCAATAAGTGATGTTTAGGTGCTTTTGTCTTTTTAAAGCTGAGAACTGACTTTCACATTTTCTGAAGGCTTTTACACAAACAACAAGGAGGCCGGAATAAGAATAATTACACAGAGATTACTACTGACCGCTGCTATTGGATCTGTATTGCTGCTTTGTTTATCTCATTTTCAGTTTTTCAGAAAACAAATAACAAATTAGTCTCATTAACAACCTGTGTAACCAAAGATTGATATCACACAAATACTACTACTACACATCACTGAGTCATGATGCTGCACTCTTCCTTCCCTCCAAACTTCAACATCATCTCCCTCGTTAAACCTGGGCACAGAGCGAAGATAAAAACTGAACCGCAGACGGACCTGTTTATGTTGTTTCTACAAAGAATAGAGGTTGGGTCACTTACAAAGTGAGAAATATAAAGTGGATTATTGCAGAGAAGCCATCGAATGCCCTGCGACAGACTGGCAACCTGTCCAGCTAACAGCCCGCAATCCTGAATTGGATAAGCAGAAGGGAATGGATGGATGGATTACATTAAATAAGTCTTATTACTCTGTTAAGCATTGGTGATACTAAATAGGCTGTAGGTGTGAACGCTTGTCGACCTATCCAGAATATACCCCACCTTTTGACCTATGACAGCTGGAATAGGCTCTCCCAGAACCCTGAATTAGATAACCTGAAAAACCGGATGGATGGATGTATTGACATTCTTTCTACCAGGAAACTTTGTAAATTTGTGTTTTGTTGTACTCTAATCAATAAAGATATTGTAGAAAATAATTCTTGAACTAAAAAGTTCTCTTAATAGATTCTAAGAGGATGTCTAGGCGATGTTGAAGGTGTATCTTGAAACTGAGTCATGGTTCAGTTTGGAACTATTTTTCCAAACAGGACCAGACTTAAAGAAAAGACGGCGAGCCCACACGTATTAAACAGGTTCCTTGCCATAAATACCTGCACTACAGATACACTTCCACATACAGCCTTTCTCTGCTGTAAATAGATTTTCGAAGGGAGATTAATCCACATCTTAACATTTAATCTTAGCTTGAAAAAGATAATGCCCAGGTTATTGCTCATCTTCAGGACGCAGAAGCAGAACCAAGTAACAGACGAAAGGCAGGAAGTATTCTAGAGATTTCTTCTTTCCAGCATTACTGAGGTTTTGTGTTAAATTCTGGGTTGGTGAATGTGGCGTGGCATAATATAGAGCATATATCTTCAGTTATATCATCATGACTGCAGATATCAGCAGGAAAATGAAAGTAAATGTATTTTATAGCCTAATCGATCCATACGCACATCATGATGCACCTTATTGGAGTAAGTGGCTTACTACAGAGTGTGCACTGTTGTCAGCACTTTAAACTGATTAAACCATGGCATGCTCCCCTTTTTTCATAGGCACTCTTTTTTTCTTTTTCTTTTCTTTTAAATAAACATGCACAGTAAGCAATGAGTGTCTGAGATCTCAGTTTATCGATTCATCCTATAGGAGGCTGTGAAAGAGTGAACAAGGGGTGATTACAGGCAGTGATGGCACAGCGAGGTTGTGGTGGCATGTCTTTGTGGTACAAGCCTGTGAGTGCGCATGTGCACACACACACACACACACACACACACAGCAGTGACGGGAATGGGAGTAGTGTTATTACAACAACAACAGGGAAAAGACCCAGTGATGGTTGCCATGGTAAATATGGCCTCCTGTCACCTGCTACCACTCTTCCTCCTCATCCTCTTCCCTCGTTTTTGTTCTCTCTGCTATTTGTACCTTTTTCCTTTTTCTCACCACATCTCCTGTTTCCTCTTAATTCTCATTTTGCCCTTCCTTCCTTCCTTCCTTCCTTCGTTTCTTCCTTTATTTGTTTGTTCTCCCTCCCCCTCTTCTCAGTCCCTCCCCCATCCTTCCCTTCATGCCACAGTGGCCTTCCTACAGGCTCCAGACAGGCCCTGAACGACAAGCAGAACAAGCGACCTTCAGTGCATCATGGCATGTGTAGCGGGCAGCGCCTGGGACAGCAGCGAGACACACCAGCACAGCAGTCCAGAATCACAGGTGAAAGGTGAGTTATAGGTGATTTGATATAACTGCTGTAGTGCCTTTGTGCAACATTAATCACTATCATCATAAATCCCTCTAAATGTGACCATTTATCACAATCTTCTGTTCACACTGAATACCAGAGTCACAGTTTTTCCAACAAAAGCCTGGCTATAAGCTGATAATTCATGTGTTCATTCAGTTTCCATTGTTGTAACACACTGCTTTGCTTTTATTCACATCCAAGTACCCAAGATAATCAGTAACAGTTATCACTGAGGTTCACTGGTAATCTTATAGCATATAACTGTGACTATGTCTGTCTCACTATATATGACTATAAGCGCCTAAAAGAACAAACAAGTAAGTTTGTCACAGTGTCCATGTACTGACAATAGCCATAATATTTAAACATGAAGTACCAATAATAAACATGCTATACAACACAAAGCAATGTGTTATTTTTTATGTGTGTAATGTGTTTAATTCAGTAGATAATGAATTGCTGCTGAACAAGATTATTGGTTATGGACCTTACAATGTTAACCGAATTATAATCCACCTTGTAAGTCAAACTATGTCTATGCAGATGATCGTAAATCAGATTTTTTTAGCTAACAAAGGGATCCCACAGGGTTTTGGGATAAATTTTGTTTTTTATTTTATTAGTTTTATTCTACTTTTTATAAATGACTTTGGTAGAGACAATACTGCAAAACTACATCTTTATGCTGATGATACTGTCATTTACACACATGCTCCCTCTGTAAGACAGACAGTGCAACCTCAGACTGCAACTTCACCCATTTCAGTCTGTATATGTAAACTATAAAGTTTTTGTCTTCTGAAAAACTCACCAACAAGGTTTTGATGGTTTATAGTACTGTTACATCAAAGAGTTCATGCAAACACATGTTTGTATATATGTACAGATGACAAGTTCAATGTAGCTGAGAGTGAAGATTGGTTTTACTTTGTTTATATGAAAAATCTTGTGAAAGATACTTTTCTGCTTGAGATCGACAATGGTGATACAATGCATATACACATACACACCTTTTCAGCTTTGAGTCTTGATTCAGTGCAACTCTACACTTTATTACAGGCACAAACTCTGACTCACAGCTGCTTTCTTTGTGATTTGATGTGCTAGCCATCACTAACCACTGTTGGATAACAGCACTGGTATTTTCAGTCTATTTTCAGTTAACCTTTGCACCTCTCTCTGTCCCAGAACCAGCTGCACACCTCTAAGTGCTTGCTTTGGGGAATTCTAAGAAATCTGATAAACAAAATTTTCACACCATTAAGCTTGGAAATGGAATCTAAAATTAAACATGCTCATGTGGAAAACCAAGGACATCCTATGATTGAGTAACTTGTATTCATATTCAGAACCACCCTTAGCAGCAAAGTCATATAGAAAACTATTTCATCACTCTTACACCATTTACAGTTTCTCTGAACATTACACGGTCTTACTGTGGAGAGAATTTTTTGGGATGTCTGCTTGTCGGAAGATTTTGGCATTGTGTTAACACACAAATGAGTGCTCCAGACCAGCAAACTGCCCAAACCTCTGCTTTTATAGTGATGCTCACACTTACTGACGATCAGTTAATCAAATGCAGAAAAACTGTGAATTTTCTTGTGAAAACTTTTTACCTTTTTTTTTCAAAGGACTGTATCTATTATTGAATTTAAAAGCATCATAAGGAATGCAGGATAGGAAATGTGGATGATTTTCTTGAGAGGCCACTAGCATGTTTTGTTGTGGGTAATTGTATACTGTATACATAATAATGCTGTGGCTCCTGTATTTTATGTTGTAGTTGTTAAGTTTTTAATATGTTTTGAGTTTATGACTTCTACCTTGTTCAAGTCTCCCTTGAAAACGTCAGTCTCAGTGGGGCTTTCTGATTAAATTATGGTAAATACACAACTAATATTTTAAGTAATTGTGCAAATGTGTGTCTTGTTTTTGTTTTTTTTTGTTTTGGACAGTTATAATTACACTCTTACCACCTCTGTGTACTTGTTTTTTTCAGTACAATTAATTTGCCGAAACAATATAACAAAACAACGACAATAATTAAAATGATGTGTGAACTTCATTATTATTCATAATTTTTTCCATCGCTTTCAATTTTATTCTGAATTATTTTGATCACTAAAACCTTGAAGTGAAACTCTCACATTGTTGAAGCTCTGATGTCTACTTTTATTCATGATTGTGCATAATTGCACAACTAGAAACAATGATGTAACAGTCTGTGTCGAGATAAGGGGACTATAACAATGAACAATGAGCTTCTTCTCAGTTGTTCTTTTCTGGTATATTATAAATGAAATTACTGAGGATTAACATTGAAAGTAGCTGTTATGTGAAGCTCTGTTAACCCTGTTGTAACTCCCTCCACACTTGGAGCCATTAAACTTGCAGCCTTACATCACCCCAACATGTGGTGAACTTGCCTCATACATAAATAATGGTAACATGTCCTAAAACATGAAGCCTGATTGTATTTATGGCCCAGATGTTTTTCTTTTTTCTTACAGGTACACATGTAAAAATAAACAACCCACGTGAAAGGCTGTTTGAGAGCATGTAACTGGCAGAGAGGTGAACTATTTTAGCCCACACGGTGAAATTTCTCTGGCTGGCAAATGACCTCACCGGAATAAATAAACGCACCAATGGTCAAACAGCGTGCAGCCACTTTTGTATGTGCAATTAAAAAACGTACAAACAAACACCATCCATGCTCCATTTCAGCACCAGTGTTGTTTCGCCCGCCTCTGCTGATCCCAGCACCTGGAGACACAACTGCACCCCGGAGCTTGTGTGAACCCGGTGAACCGGAACCAATAATGGTGTCAGCACTACTTGGGGAATAGTAGGGGTCTGGGTGTTTCTGAGTTTTAGTGTGTTTGTGGTCGTGTCACCTGTCAGGCTGTCGTAGCACTCGATCTCGGTGCTCTCCACGGCTCTCCTCTGCTCCTCGGTCAGCTTGGCCGCGGCTTGGCTGAGCAGGTTGACCTCGGAGCCCGTAGTGCCGTCCACGACATGAACCCCTTTGAGCTGCAGCAGCGCCCGGTGGTACTTGCCTATCGCTTCCCGGAACTTCTTCTCCTTGTAGCAGCGATGGCCCTCCGCCTTGAACTCGATGGCTTTCTGGATCTTCGAGTCCATCTCCATTTCAGCTGAGCCGGCTCGATACCCCCCTCCTCCGTCTCCTCCGGCGGCCGCTGCCAGGCTCCGACCGCCGGTCTCCGGGTAGCTTTTCAGGCTCTTTATCTGGTGCTGTTTGGCTTCCATGTCTCTCAGTGAAAGCGGCTGGAGCGGGCCATGGTGCTCGGACACGAAGGTGTGCTTTGTTGGGGAGGACCGGAGCAGCGTGCTGTGCATAAAGGATGCAGGACGGAGCGGCGAAGGAGGCAGGACAGGCGGCGGCACCGGAGACACGACGAGCCGAGGGAAAAATGGGCTTTCAGGCGCGTCTGCCGTGTGCAGCACTTACAGAAAAAAACGAGAAATAACCCGGAGAACGTCAGCAGATACAGAAAAAAGACGCATTACATCACCAGAGCTGGCAGAAACATCCTGAATCTCTCCTAGCGTCGACCACAAACCATCCCTCGCTGCTGGAGCTCTCGCGGAAGGATGCTCGGGTGGATTTGTATGGTAGCAACCTCAGAGGCACGCGCAGCTTCAGCACCACAGATAGCGCACACACGACAGCCCCTACCGCGCAGCATTGTGGGAAAAAAAGAGAAGTCGTGAGGCGTTGCTGCAGTTCGGATTTTACATGGAGAAAAATGGAGAAGAAAGAAAAAAGAGAAAATGTGGAAATATTCAGACATAATCGATTATTTCTTAGTGTGATGTGGCACATTAAAATCAACCATAACAACTGCATGAACCGCAAAGTAGATGCTTTTATCAGTCAGTAATAAACAACAACTTATTTGCATGTTTATTTATTTTAAACACTATTCGGCAAAATATTTAAAAAGATAGCCTTATAAACTATCTACTCTTAGGCCCGAGGCTCGTTCTTCAAGGGTCAATTAATAATACGATTGGAAGTGATCAGTCCTCACAATAAAATCCAGCTTTTACTATAACTATTGTTCCTGTAATCGTTTCAGGACCAAGCGGAGCGCCTGATGACTTCAGCTGATAAGGTTTTCAAGGAGATGGAGACGAACGGCAGGAGGCTGAGGGAGAAAGAGGGAGAGAGCGACCTCAAGGGGACAAAGTGTCAATTACACTTAGTTTGATGTGACGTGTGGTTAGCCTAGAAGTCAGCAGTCAGCCTCAGAGGCATGTCTGCAAGAGTAAGTAAAAAAAAACCCCACACACCATCTTCTCCACAGAGCAGGAGTAAGCATCCACAGCACACCCTGTAGCGCTCCTCGAACTCCTGCTTATTGGAAAGAAGGGCAGCACCTGAGGCACGACAGCTCTCACGGTTGCCAAACAATCAAGTTTATTACAGTTAACTAAAGATAAAATGAGTGTTCTGTTTGTGTTGTAATAACTGACAAACAATTCACACTTCACTTTTATTAAACCAAGACGCTCACTTTTATGTAGTTTCACTTCACGAGGTACATCTATTCAATGACTCATTAGTACAAATATCTAATCAGTGAATCAGGTAGCAGCAACTCATAGCATTTAGGCATGTAGACATGGTCCAGATGACCTGCTGAAGTTCAAGCTGAGCATCAGAATGAGGAAAAAAGGTCTGACAACAACAACCACGCCACATTCAACTGACTTTGAACGTGGCGTTGTTGCTATCAGAAGTCAGAGGAAAATAGCCAGGCTACTTTTTAGACCAGGAAACATTTCCTAGTCTAAGGAGTTGTAATTTTTGCTGCGACATTCCGACGGTAGAGTGAGAATTTCGATCCTTCCTGCCAGGTATCGATGGTTCAGGCTGCTGCCGGTGTAATGGTGTGGGGGATATTTGTTTTGGCACATTTTGGTCCCCTTAGTACCAACTGAGCATAATTTAATGCTGCAACCTACTTGAGTATTCTAGCTGACCATGTCCATCCCTTTATAACCACAGTGCACCATCTTCTGATGGCTGCTTGTCACATACTGACGGCTCCAGTTAAAGGCAATTTTATTTCAAACATTTTTAACAAGACACGGTGTGCAGTATCCTCCCTGTATCAGTGTCTAAAACATTCATCTGTGTTTTTTCCACAGTGTCACAGCAGATCACACTTTCATTGGCTGCCTGTAAATCTTTACAAGTGGTTAGAAGTTATTTGATTGATAGTCTAAACTACCAGAACGAACAACAATGAAGTAAATAAAAATCAGGAGAGAAAATTGCTGCTAAAGATTTAAAATGAAGAAGTCTAATATTTATCTTGCTCTAATTTTAAATGTTATATGCTCAACTTCACCATTTTTAATATGTAAAATATCTATGTATGGATCAGTGGAAACATCATCGGTTTCCCAAACAGACCAGCAGCTGGCTAATCAGCTTATATTCAGTGAAGTTGAACCCTTTTCTTGCTGTTTGTCCTTTTGAGGAGCGGATGCTTACTTTGATGAAAACACCTTCAATAACTGAGACCACATCCTCGGAAACGATGAGCGAAGTGAGATGAGGATGTATGAACTGGTGCTGCGGTAGATCCCCATGTACTAACGAGAAGTGAACGAAGGAAGGGAGGAGGAGAGAAGAGGAGAAGAGAGGGAAAAGGGGGGGGGGCATGGAAATAAGAAAGAGAAACCCACACATCTGACACCATTTCATCATTTAATTTTTTTTTTCCATCATACCTTGAAAAAGAAAAAATGACATTTCACGGTGTGTTTTCCAGATATTAATTCTTTAAACACAGGGAAAAAAATCCTAAGCATTTTAAAATATTTACAATGTAACGAAGATCTGGCATGAAGTCTGACAGACAAAAACTGTACATCAGGAGTAATGAGCAACACTGGTTTGAGTGGACTACATCGAGCTGGGCCCGATGGCATCGCTGAATTCCTTTTGTAAGGATACGTCATGATACAAGAACGTCCACATAGAAAAATATGTGTGTGTGAAGTCTAACAAATCTATACATTGCATAAAAACAACAGAAATATTCTAGTGAGTCGGCTTTCAAGTAGGTGGTTATAGAAAACGTTCAGTACTACGATAGAAAAGGTGCCTTTAGTTCGAAGGTGTCAACTTCTACTCCACAAAGCACAGAAGAGGAGGAGGAGGTGCATTGCTTTCCAAAGATTCAAGTGTTCATCGAGGTTGTTCTGTTTAATAGTTTGAATTTTTTCCTTTCCCCTCTCACAAGTTCGGGGTCTGAGTTCAGAAGCTTGTTATCGACACTTTTCATACTTTGAAAAGGAGGTAATTCTTAGGTGAAGGTTAGAAGATTAACTTTAACTTATCATCTCCTTACTAGTCTGACTGCTGTCCTGTGTATTCAACTTAAAAATAAAAAAAATAATAAAACAAAACAAAAATCTGTACATTTTACATGTTCAGGCAAATATCAATAAAACACTTACATAATTATTCTTGGAGAAACAACATTATCTACAGCCTCACTATTCATTCAGGGGCATTCAGGGAGTGTAGACAGCAGCAGCATCCTCGTATGGGGTGTGGTGGGGGTAGCGTATGTCAAGCTCATGCTTTAAGCTAACAAATGCAGACCATAAATCCTTAAATAATAGGTTTGGACATTAAACGGTAAACATTTTTCCAATGGCAGCAAGAATAATGAGTTTAATGTAAATGATAATCTTTGTCATTTATCCAAACACAAAAACAAAACAAAAAATATTGCAGCAAGATAAATCCTAAAAGTTGGCAATACAAACTTTAAAAAGAGTGTAAAGAAATAGTATTTTTTGGGTGGTGGTGGGGTGAGTGCGTTAGGTTCTCTTACTGCCCAGTCTCTTGAAAACACTGATAGCTTTAACGTCCATCTGGGCCCCCGCGGACTCTCCTCCCATTCCAGCTCCTCCGGTGCTGCTGCTCACCTTGGAGCTTGCTACAGTCGTCCTCTCCTGGGCTCGGGATCTGGTGCTGGTCACTCTGTTGTCCTGTGTGTCAGCGGGTGTCTGCGACACACTGGTGTTTGAGTGTGTTGCGGGGGGCTTGCCCAGTCTCTGAAGAACACTAATCTTAGCAGGGGGGAGACCATTCGGGGAAGGTGAGGAGGAGGTGGGTGTATCAGAGGGAGGTAGTTTGAATTTGCCGCCGAGGCGCCGCAGGGTGATGGGGGGCGCTTTTATCGCAGACTCTTTCTTCTGGAGAGAAGGAGGTTTCTTGAGGACGCCAGCATACTGGAGGACAGAGCCTTCTCCATCGCTGTCGTCCTCGTTTTCACCTGCGTTTCCAGCTCTCTGCTCGTCTGCAGCTTCTTCCCCTCTGTCGAGGCGGCTGAACACGCCGGTCGGCTGCAAAAATATGAGCGCTATGAGCTCAGAACTCATCTTTAAGATGCAGAACGCTGTTAATGTACATCGACAGGTCTCACCTTGTTACCGCCTGTTGTCGTATCCGCCTTCGATTCAGCTCCGAGTCTCGCAAACACAGACGTGCGTTTCAAACCTTCATGAAGAGAAGAGCAAATAAGCAAAATAAATATTTTTTTCCAACAAAACTAATCAGCAAAAAAGTAAAGAAGCTCTGCAACATACAGATTACAGTGGAAGAGAGAAGGTGAAGAAATATTTGTCAGTACCACCGCTCTGTAGTTGTTCTTTAAAGTCTGTTAGTTTACCTTTGCTCAGTTTCTGTTATTCTGCCATGAATTTGTATTGAGCGTTGTTATAGTCGGTGTATGACTTATTCGATTGTGCAAAATGTAGCCTATGTGCTTCTGAATGTTTACACAAAATATTAAAAATTACATGTTGGAAATTTTGACAGTATTCTCCATACATGTAATATGTTGAGAATTTTTGCTTTTATTTTGAAAACTCTAACTAAAGTCACACTGATTAGACTGAAACAAACATTTGATTTGTTTTTTTCTTGCCTACAACAATGTAAATGTAAATTTTAACAGTATCTGTATCTGCCTAGAAAAATATTTTGATCAACTCCTGTTGTTTTAAGTCAGCTAAAAAAAACCTCTTTTACTTTAATTGCTAACATGACAAACCAGTTAAAGCTGGGATAGGCAGTAGACACTGGCAAACATCCCAAGTTAACTTAAGTGGTGTGAAAGGAAACAATAGACTTCTTCTGTTTTCAGACTCTGAAGCCTTTCTTTGAAAGGGCGTTCCTGTTGGCTGTGTGGCCATATCGCTTCAGGTGGTGGAAAGCTTGATTCAGTGGTGGTAAATCCCACAGGAAGCATTTGCAACAACTGTAAACGCCGCAAAGTAACTGAACCAGACAAAAAAGCTGCCTCAAAAAAGGCATTGAAACGTGTGCCAACACTGACCTGGTCTTGTCACAGAAAGGAGTTACACCCAATTGCTAATAATTACTCTATCTGGAGTACACCATTCTTCTAAGCTGCAAACTTGATTTTCCGGTGAGTTCAATGGGCTGCGGTGGTTTGTTAGATTGTGTCGGTACATTTATCATGAAAGCATGATTTTCACTGCAGCTTTTACAGGTATAAAAGTGACATTTCCTTCATAAATTTAGAGAAAATGTCTTGAAGCTGAATGACTGATCTGTAACACAATCCAAATGCAAGCTCATGCCAGGGAGGAAAAATCAGAAGAGCAAAAAGAAGTAAAATTTGGTTAATGTGAGACAAACGGGGGAAAAAAAAGAAGTGTG